TTTACATTGAACATCGGCTTTTCTTCTGGAGTCCAGAAATTTGGTATATGCCAGGCAGAAAGTGTCTACATAACCCACTCCCAATACAAACCCTCGGCGCTGAGTCTAAAATGAGCTTCTCTGGTGCAAAAATTGCACATGTCACAACATGCTGCAGGAGTCAAGTTCATTTACTATAAGTCAATAACTCATTGGGGAGAGGACTCTTGGAAGTTTGCACTTGGTTTCTTCCACACTTTGCCCCATGCACTTTTTCCCTTTGTAGATGTTTGTTTGTATCTTTAAACTGTTAATAAATCATATTTGTGAGTATGACCATAGGCTGAGTCCTGTGAGTCCTCTTAGTAAATTGTCAAAAGTGGGGGTGGTCTTGGGGACCCGTGAAACAACGCATAACCCCAGTCTAATCATGAAAAAAACATCAGAACAATCTCAATTGAGGGACAGTCTACAAAATACCTAACCAGTATTACTCAAAACTGTCAAGGTCATCAAAAACAGAGAAAGTCTGAGAAACAGTTAAAACCAAGAGGAGCCTAATGAGACATGACAACTAAATGTTATGTAATATGGTACCCTAGATGGGATTCTGGAACAGAAAAAGAACATTAGTAAAAACTAAGAACATTACTTTGGATTATCTAGGTGAGCCTAATATAATCACAAAGGCCCTGAAATAGGTCAAAGGGAAGGTCAATAGGTCAATAGGACAAAACTAAAAACAGAAAAAGAACATTAGTAAAAACTAAGAAAATTTAAATATAGTATGAACTTTAATTAATAATAATGTATCGATATTGGTTTTTAATTGTGACAAATGTACCATACTAATGTAAGATGTTAATAAGGAAAATTGAGTGTTGGGCAGACTTTCTGTACTAGCTTCATGACTTTTCTATAAATCTAAAACCATTTTAAAATTAAAAAAAAAAACTTTTATTTAAGAAATTTCTGATTACCCACATATTGTGTAGAGTGTTTTGCTAATCATTAGAAAATGTAGATCTATATAATTACTTAAGGTAAAGGCATTATCAATTCCATATAATTTTGCTCCACATGTGTTCATTTATCTGTATTTTAAACTCAATTTGAAATGGCAGGAAATCAAAGTTAAGACATTTAGTTTATTAAAATTGGCTAAATATTTATATATTATTATCTTACTGAATAGTGACTTCCTGGAAGGTAGAAGCAAATTAGAAGTATCAACCTACTGAGCAAGATCTAAACATTTTTGCATTACTAAAATGAAGAAATTGATAACCTTAAACTGAAAAAAATAATTGGCACAAAGTAGAGTGAGAAATAAACAATGACCTGAAGGTCATGATGTTCTTTTAATCTACTGTCTCCTTTCCTAAAAGACCACTTCACAATTATGTTTCTGTGTTTAATAAAACCAGTAAAATATGTGTCATCTAATTAAATTGTCATATTTTTATTACTGAGGCTTTTCACTTCAATAAACTATTACTTTCTGCTTGAGAAAGAGAATAAATGGGGAATAATTGTTTGTTTAATATGTGGATTAATATTATAATTCAGAATTAATATTATAAGTCAGAATTAATATTATAATTCAGAATGCAATGTCCTCTTTTAAGAAGATAACCAAATATTTGGAATATGATTTTGTGTGACTTGAAGGTGATGAATCAAGGGATAAAAGATTAAATGGACTACATTAAAATCGCGAAAAATTCAAAATAATCCCTATGTACAAATCTATGAAAATGAAACTTAGTACCTTGTGGAAAACATATATCTTTGGCAGATAAACATGAATAAGTAGTTCTTTAATATAATTTATTGGCCTCTATTCTCCCCAATGCCTAAACCACTCCATTACAATAATACAAGTAGTTTACTGAGAACAATGTAATATCATTCTATAAGGTTTAGTGGTTCATTACAAACCATATATTTGGTCAATTACTTTATATTCTCATTTACAACACTCTACAAAATGTATGGTAAATTCTCTTTTCACAATAGCATCCTGTGGGCTTTAAAGAGACATTTTGTTTTATTCATATTAAATAGGCCCAATGTTAAGAAATGCAAACATAGTAGAATGTAATGCTGTTTAAAAGAATTACTTTAAAGTATTATGCAACTATATTAGTGGCAGCTTTACTTTCTTTCAATCCAGAGAAAAATTTTTTTTTGTCCTAGGATAGAAATTTGTATTAATTTCTTCAAAATGCTGATATTTCAGCCTTTTCATGATTATACCAGACACTTAACAAATTACATAGGCCAAAGGATGTCTCAAAGAAAATTAGAAAATAATTTGAACTGAATTAAAATAGAAATATAACATAAAAGTCAAAGGACATAGCTAATCCAGTAATTAAAAGGAAATTTATAGTATTAAATGCCTCGATGAGAAAAATTCCAAGTAGTAAATAAGTTTCCACTATAAAGTAGTTTTATGAGAGAAAGAAAAATAAAGTCAAAGCAAGTAGAAGAAAGTAAATACTAAAGACCAGAGCAGAAATCAATGACTTTGAAAATAAAAAACAACAGGAAAAATAACTTAAACCCAAAGTTGGTTCTTTGGAACGATCAATAAAATTTATACATTTCCAGCAAAGTTAAAAAACCAGAGAGAGAGAAGATACTAGCTGCCATTATCAGTATTGAAAAGGGGATATCATTACAGACCCAACAGACATTAACAGTATTATAAAGTAACATTATGAACAACTCTAATACATAATTTCAAAAATTTAGATAATTTATTGAAAACAGCAAACTACCAAAACTCACCTAATATGAAACAGATTATCTGAATTGTCCTATAAATATTAAAAAAATAAAATCCATAGTTAAAAATCTTTCAAAAAAGAAATCTTCAGGACTACATAGTTTCATTACCAAATATTTAAGAGAAATTAATTCTCCATAATATTTCTCATAAAACAGAAGAGGAAAGACCACTTCCTAACTCACTGCATAAGGCCAGCACTACTCTGACATTAACACTAAAGATAGTACAAAAGTAGTACAAAAGGGAAAACTTCAGACCAATATCCTTCATGTAGAGGCAAAAAGAAAAAAAGAAACCTTTAAAAAATATTGGCAAATAGTATTCAGCAATATATAGAAAGAAAAATACAACATAATAAAGTGGTGTTTATTGTGGAAATGAAAGACTGACTTGATATTTGATAAACAATACTAACACTGAAAACACATGACATATCAATTGATATAAAAAAAGCATTTGACAAAATTCATCCATTCATAAAACTGTCAGCAAACTAGGAATAGAAGGAAACATCCTCAACCTGATAAAAGGCATCTACAAAAAACTTACAACTAACATACCTAATGGTGAAAGACTGAATGCTTTCCTCAAAAGACAAAGATGTCTGTTCTCACCATTTCTACTCAACATTGTACTGGATGTTATAGCTAACTCAATAACACAAAAAAGAAAAAAAAATCCATATTTGAAAGAAAGGAGTAAGGTTGTCTTTATTTGTAGACAACATTATCATCTATGAAGAAAACCCAAAGAAACCTACTAAAAAACGACTATTCCTAATAAGTGAGATTAGAAAGGTTGTAGGCTAAGGGATCAACATACAATATTCAACTGTATTTCTGTATACTATCAATGAACAATTGGAAATTAAAATTTAACAAAACAATACCATTTACTAACATTAAAAATAGGAATATTTAGGGATAAATCTGACAAAAGATGTCAAACATCTGCACTCCCCCCAAATCACAAGATACAAAGTCAAAATAAAAATCAACTGTGTTTCTGTACATTAGCAATATATAATAGTAAACCAAAAAAAATTTCAACTAAAAATATCATCAAAAAGTAAATACTTAGGTATAAATCTAACAAAATATGCAGTTCCCAAATGCTGAAAACTGCAAAATATTCATAAAAGAAATCAAAGACCTAAATGAAAAGGGAGACGTATGTTATCAACAGAGTAAAGATTTCAGTTCTCCCCAAGTTGATCCATGCAGATAATTACAATAAAAATCCCAAAAGGATTTTTTATAAACAGGCTGATTCTAAATTTTACACAAAAAGGCAAAGGAACTAGAACAAATCATTTTTGAAAAAGAACAATAAAGCTGGAGAAATCACAGTACTCTATTTTATAACTTAATACGAAGTTACAATAACCAAGAAAAAGGACTATTGGCAAAAGAAGAGACACAAACATGAAGAGAATAGAGTCCCAAAATAGACCCACACATATATACCCTACTGATCTTTGACAAAGCTGCAAAAGCATTTCAATAAAGATATAATAGTAATTTCAACACATACTGCTGGAACAATCTCTATAAAAAACAATGGAACTTGACCTAAACTTCACATCTTATTTAAAAAATTAACTCAAAATGAATCATAATTCTCAATGTAAAAATTAAAGCTATACCACATGTAGAAGAAACCAGAGGAGGAATTCTTCATAATCAAGGGCTAGGCAAAGAGTTCTTAGATTTGACACCAAAAGCATAATCCATAAAAAGAAAAAAAAATCCTGAGAATTTAGACTTCATCAAAATTAAACATGTTTGCTCTACAGGAAAAGAAAATTGTTATGAGAATAAAAAGACAAGCTACAGAATGACAGAAAATATTTACAAATCGAATACACAATGAAGGATTTATAACCAAAATATATAAAGAACTTTTACAACTCAACACGAAGAACACAACCCAATTAAAAAATGACCAATAGATTTGACCAGACATTTAACTAAAAAATATATACAAATGGAAAAGTAAGCACATAAAAATGTTCAACATTATTAGCGAAATGAAAATTAAAATTACAATATGATAAGACTACATTATCCATTGACTCTCTTTCTATAAAAAATATTGAGACTACCAAGTGTTTGCAAAGATGCACAGCAAATGAAACTCACACATTGCTGTTTGGAATGCAAAATAGTATAGCCATTCTGGAAAACAATTTGACAGTTTCTTACAAAGTTAAATATATACTTACCATATGATCCAGCAATCCCACTCCTTGGTATTTACCCTAGAGAAATGAAAACAGGTTTACATAAAAACCTATACATGAATGTTTTTAACAGCTCTTTTCTTAATTGCCAAAACCTGAAACAACCCACCTATCACTAAACAGGTGAATGGATAAATTGCGGTTCTTTTATTTAATGGAATACTATTGGGCAATAAAAAGAAAAACTACACATATATGCAATGACTTGGACGAATCTCATAGGCAATTGTGCTGAGTAAAAGAAGCCAGTCTCAAAAGTGATTCCAATTATATAATATTATTCTATTATTTTATAATATTAGAAAGACAAAACTAAAGCAATGGAGAATGGATCAGTGGTTTTCAGGGATCATGGATGGGATGGGGGTGTGATTGTATAAAGATATAATCAGGCTCAATTATAAAGGCACAAGGGAGATTTGAGGATGATAGAACTGTCTGTATCCCCATTGTGGTGGTGGTTATATCAATCTACACGTGTTAAAACACAGAGCTGTACTCACTCCAAGGATAAATCAATTTTACTGAATGATAATTAAAAAAATAAAAACAAAACCAAAAAGACTATGCTGAATAAAAAAAAGACTTGCTGGCTGAATGTAGCTTAACACTGTATCTGCCACAGAAATATGCACAGTTTGCACACACACAAAAAAATCATTAAAAATGTCAAATGAAAGACAGAAATCTAGATTTCCCGACCAATTATTTTAAACGTTAAAAAAATTAATAACAAAAACTTTTTCTTTATATCTTGTGTGCTTACTTTCCAATTAAAAAATATACAAGATCTGTACTGAAATTATACAAAGGCATGGTATACCAAATAGATATGTGATGAATGTTTACAGAATCATCTAATCTTTATTAAACATGAATGAGCTGAACAGCTAAGCCACGAATTTATCTCAAATATTAACTCTTCCTAGGATTTTTTTGCTTGAATTAAGAAGACTATTAAAAACTATTTTTCTTCTTTCTGGCTCAAGCCATGATATGCACTCATATCCCTAACTCATGTCATTTCTATGGTGCTACACGCTTTTAAATTTCTTTGCTATGGAGACATTGGGCATTTGTTTGCCTGTAGCTCCTGTGCAACAAACTAAACCTATTAGGATCCTGCCCTACACTGACCTGTCACAGGTCTAAGACTCATTTATTCTGATCAATTGCTAAGCAGATTGGTTAAATCACGTGTGTGTGAGTGAATAAAAGTAACTTCATTAAAAAAAAAAAAAGGCAACATTAATTTGGTCTTGCTTTGTTCTAAATTGTGTAAAACAGAATGTTTCCTATGCTGGAAAATGATTAACAATATAGCTGAGGTTTTCAGAAGTACCTAGCTCAAGAATTAAACACATTTTTAAAACTACAAAGATGTTATCTGCATATACTTACAGTACAGAGCAAGTATAATTCTCATACTTCTTTTAAATTTCTATTTGTTAAGAGATTTTTAGAGCCCTCCACATTGTTTTAAGGGCATTCTTTCTGAACTATAATTTAACATAACATATCATCATCTCCAATTTAACTAGGTTTAGGTCAAATTTTCAATAAAATTTTGAATTTTACAGCTTTAATAAATTAAACTACAAAATATAATGGTGCTAAAATATATTCACTTATACATTCTACAATATCTGCTTTGATTCCACGTTACATCATCACTTGCAAATAAACCAAACTGGAATGTTCTTGTCAGCAATCAATCAAAAATATAATAAACAATTATCTATTATAATAATACTATTTAAGTGAAAAATGAAAAACACCTAACCATATTGAAGCACTCAATGCAGTAATTTTTTATTCAGTCTATGACTAGCATCAAAAGCAATAATGAGTTTGCTTAATTGTTTTTAAAGGCATCAAATATTATGAAAAGTTGCAGCTTTCTATATCTTAGCTGTGAGGACACTGATTAATAAGGATGACTATTATTATGAACAAGGAAATAATAAAGGCAATTTGCAAAAATAAAGTTTATATAAAAATATATTAGTCCTCAAACTTCCAAATTTGCATGAACACCTCATCTATTGGCTTTAACTGGCTCCCTCAGCACGTAACATTTATTGTTCAGTCCTTTCACACACCTCACCCTTGAACATATCATTATGAGTTGAGGAGTTTAAACCATAGAGAAGCACACTCTCTTACAAAATTACAGTAAGGGTCAACTGTCCTTTAAATAATTTTCACAATTTAACACAGTTAACCATATCTGGATCATGTGGACACATAATTCAATAAGGCTTCTTGAAAAGATCTGTTTAAGCTAAATGTGATGAAAGTGAATGAATATGTCACTACATTAGATTTAGGTAGAGAAATTTTTTTTGCTTCAGCTTAATGTGAAATAAAATCCTAACAAATAAATTTAAAATATATATGACAATCTAGTCTAAACATCATGAGATTATTATTCCTCTGAAATATTAACAGAATTGGGAAAAATTTCACAAAAGCTTCTCTCCCCAAACCCCAACATTTATAATATAGAATTTTTAGTAAACTCTTAAAAAATTACCTGCTTCTGCAGCCATCTTTCATGCCTTCGTTGTTTCCTTCTCAGATTCTTCAACTTGCTCCTTTCTTTTTTACTGAGCCTCTGATTAATGGCACCCAATGAAAAACTGCCCGAGCGCAGGAAGTCCAGAGGAGAAAGGTGCTCTTCCTGGTCTGAGGCCTCCAGCATGCTCCTGCCAGCTGAGGGCAGGTCCATCAGGAAAGTCAGGCTGTTAGAACTAGCATGGTCTGAGTACACTGCAGAAGCTTCTAGACCACAATGAAACTCTCCTCCTCTTTGTGTCTGAGCCTCACGGGGAGCCACTGAAAATCTTTGCAGCAGCATATTAGGATCAAAACTTGATGAAATCTGAAAAGAACAGCTATTTTTACTAGATTCAAAAGGCAAGTCTGGAAGGTCAATACACTGTGTTTCTTTTAGCCTGGGATAGGCAGTAGTCTTATCATGTATTTCATATAAAGTGGGTAATAAAGTCAGTTTCTCACTGATGTTCAGATCCAAACTATGTGATTTTCTATGAAAAGCTCTTGTGGTGCATCTGCCAGTCACAAGCTGGGGAACAAAAAGCTGGTATTTTGGATTGGATGCTTTGAAGAGCAGTTTTTCGTTCTTCATCCCAAAATACGTAGACCGTACCTCCAGGCAGAGTGCTTCTGTTAATCTTCCAGGGCCATTATTATTTTGAGCCATATTGAAAAGCCTGTGATTTCTGTTTTTGGAGGCGCCACCTGTCAGTAGATTGTCCGTGTCACAACCTGACTGAACTCTAGGATGTGACAAGTATTTCAGCGATGGTCTCATTAGTTGGCCTGCCTGTGCTGGCTGATAATCAGTCCGGCTCTTGGAGAGATGTACAGCTGTAAGCTGGCCACAGGAACATTTTGGAGTGCTGACAAAATTAAAGCCCCCTAAACGGGCCCCACAAAAAGGGCAATTCAGTTTTCCAACTGTCCACTGGGCCTACAGGTAATAAAGGAAAATAAAGACAATGCTTTCATTGTAAAGTAATCAAAAAGAATGTGATTTTTTTTTAAAGCCAACCACATGAAAGTTTTCTATGCCACAGAAAAGGCTAGCTAGCTTTCTGTTTTCTGATTAGTAGACAGAACAGTAAATGGAAACAAGCTTTCTAATAGAGATAAGCAGCTCCAAAGTTCTAGAATGATAACATATTGTACATCATGCCCATCTAAGCAATACCTCTAAGAATTCTGAGAGTGTCTTAAACAATAGGTTGAATATGAATACAGTGTGAACTAATGAAAGAAAAATACACTATGGAACCAGGAAGCAAATCAGTCTACAGAGCTAATTTGCAAGTAAAATCTCACAGAAAAGTGTCTGTTTTGATACACTTCTTGCATACCAAGCACTGTGGGAGGGAACTTTACCCAACCAATAGAATAAAGCTCTTCCTGTCTTTTACATATATACAACCAAAAGATAATGGTTGCATATAAACAGTGCATTTTCTATACTGAGATTGGAAATTAATGATGAACTTGCTTTCAAATGATGTTTTCAACAGAGATAGTGGAATAACCGCAGTGTCCTGATACATTTTGTGAAGTTCTGGACACTGGCAAGCAGCACACTGGCATCTTCCCAGGAAATCATTACAATGTGATAATGGATGCAAAGAATAGCTATCAAGTGTTATTGTTTAACAAAAAAAGTTAGTCACTGAAGAAAGACAACTATATTTTTCTGAAGATCATATTACTTATAGTTTTCTAAGACTTAAGCGTTTTGATTGTGAGAAATGATACTATACTGTTAACAAGGTGATTTCTTGCTCTTGTAACATTTCATTAAGGATCCTTAAAAGTGTAGTGCTTTGATTTTTATTGTGCCAATAGGAGTCATTAATTATCCAGTTTATTTTCTATGTGTGTGCATACATGAGTAATACTTATAGGGTATTTCATTCACTCAATAGAAACTGTTCTAGGTGCAGGGGATACAGTAATGAATAAAATATAAAAACCCCTGAGTCCATGGAATTTATATTCTAGTAGGGAAGCTAGGCAATTAACAAGATCAGTAAGTCATAAATATGTGTGGATGAGTGTGTGTGTATATATGTGTGTGTGTGTGTGTGTATAATAATGCATTGTGTGTGTGTGTGTGTGTGCGTGTGTGTATGTATAATAATGCATATTTATATGTACTTTTGCATATTTACAAGTACTAAATGTTACTTACAGTTTGTGTATGTATGTGTAAAATATACATAGGTATACAAAGCAGAGAAGGAAGAAAGGAAATGGGAAGAATGGTAATAGTGGGGAGGGGCAGTTGATTGTTTGGCTAAGCAACAGTCTCATTGAGAGTAAAGGCTTATGGAAATATGGGAACAGGTGAATATCTGTGGGAAGAGCTTTCAAGCAAGAGGAACTACCAAGTGTGAAGCTCAGGGTAGCAAAGTACCTGAAGCACTCCAGTCCAGTAATAATGAAAAAGCCAGTAAGTATAATCAAGAGTTACACATCCTTTCATGTCTCTTGAAACAATGCATCCAAGAAAAAATAGCTCTAAAATGAGGGCAAAAAACATTCTGAAGATAGTATATTCCTAATTTTACCCTGAAATTAGAAACTTACTTTTTGTATTAGGCAGTTTATCCATTCTGGAAGGGCTTCTATATTCATGTGCCACACATGACAAATACTTTGATCATCAGCTGAATCATGTCTATCCTGTTGTAGCAAAATGCAGAATATTAGTTATTATTAGTTCAGAATTTATTTCACAAATTTCATATTTAAGTTATAATATAAATTCAATTTTAGCTAGGAAGGAAATACTGCGTTCCTCTCCTCACTCCCATCTCCAAAAACGAACCCACAAAGACAAAAAAAATTATTTTTAGGAAATTTCCACCTGTGAATTAAAAAACAAACAAACCTCCATTTCATTGATTTCATAAGTTAAGTTTAAAATTTAGCAGTAAGTTACTTACTGGGCAAATCCGGACCCTATTTTTTCTGTGTGTGAGAAAAAAACAGTGCCATTCACAACTTTTCCCTGCCTTCAATCTCTGATTCTATCTGGATTCTATTAATGACAAAATAAAAGAGTTGTTATATTCTCTGTCAAGATTCTTAAAAGTGTCAGAGGATGGCAGAGAGGGACAATTGAGTAGGTATCTGGTAAAGTCTCAACTAAACTTCAGCTGTGTTAAGAACAAAATTTTCAGAGAGACAGTTTTGGCTTTTTGAAATAGATTTGTAGAAATAAATGTGATTATAGTTGAAACAATATGGCTTCCCAACATGTCAGAAAAATGCAGGGCAGGCCAGAGTGTAGATATGTGTCTGCTTATTACCTGTGTGACCTTATGTCAATTGCTTTCCCTCTCTGAGTCTCAGTTTCTTCACCTGTAAAACACTGCTAGGTAATTGCTAAGGTCTCTTCTGGATCTACAAAATTTAGTTCTATGATATGACAGGAAAGAGATGATTGAGAAGAACAGGGAAAGGGGTAAGGCTCCTGTCCACATCTCACATACCCTTCCTTCCCTAGGATCAGAGTTTACAAGTAGCTATGCAAGTTGCCAAAGCACCATTCTTTTTTAGACTTCTTAAGCAGTTAGACTACTGGTTACTATAATCAGATTAAAATAACAAACAACAAGGCAATTACTAAACATGTCTTATGAGTTTGTATTCGCAGTGATATAAATGAAATACGATTGGATTTCTTTAAGAACCTTTCACTGAATAATCTATATTTGATCCTGACCTAGAACCAGGATCATCCAGAATTTCTAGGTTTAATTTCCCAAGTTGGTCCCTCTGGACCTTATATCACTTTTCTCTTCCACTAGTAGATCTTAAAATACTAAACAGTGGGCCAGTATAAACAAAAATTTTTATTGTGATTTATTTACATACTGGAAAGATCTATAAAGAAGCCTCTTAATCTAACTTCCATGAGGCTCACCAAAAATCACAATGTAAATTAAAATAGGAAAAGGATTTCAGCTATTGTTATATGTTAAATCACATTTCATTTTTTTCCATACCGTACACAATGGTATTTTATATACCATAAAAAATATTCAATTTTAAGCCAAATTCAATATTATAATGGTGAAAGAAAATTTTGTTAAAAGGTTTGAAATTCTTTCAATTCTAAGATTTTAAAAATCTATAACACTGGTTAAAAATATTCCAATGACAAATAGAAAGTCTGTTGGGAAGTCTTTACAGATGGCCAAAGAGAAACTTTATAGTTTTATTCATGATGTCTGAACTCCAATTCTGATTAACAAAATGCAACTTTTTATGTCAACATTGAAGAGAGGGCCAGGAAAGTGCATGGCAATATGAAGAGGATATTACTGAATGGAAGTAAAGTTAGGAAGAGAAGAGACAATGCTAGGAATAGTTTTCTAGCTCAATGATCTTACTGCTTCCTAATGCATATATCCTCACTAAAGTGTCAGGCAAACATACAAAGGTTTATTATTGATTCTCATAAAATGATACAGGGAAAATTCGGGCAGAGAGGGACCTAACCATCAGTTTCAAGATGGCAAAGTGAGTACATAGTCTAATCTATCCTATTAAACCACAGCACCTAAGAAAGGTGTTTAAAAAAAAAAAAAAGAATAGCTAAACTAGAAAATATAGATGTGGAGATTTCAATGAACCAGGAATTAAGAGGAATCTCTGAATGATTAATGAGAGAAACAACATCATACTGTATCTAAGTACATAATAGATGAGAACCACACAAAGAATGGTCCATGCCAAAGTAGTGAAAACTAGAAGAAAAAAGGGCTCTGGGAAACTGGTAGAGGTGGAGTTGAAGTCTGATCATCTTCAGGCAAGAGTAGTACTTGAGGCAAAGAGAAACAGGGCAATATCCCAGGGTGGTTGGAAAGGCTTGGACAAAAATGGAAAGCACTTGCAGCAAGTTCAGAAGATGAGCAACTGAGGACCAACCTCTATTCTTGCTGAAAATAGTACTATGCCATATAAAGAATATGGTGTAGATTTGTTCATACTAATAAAATACATCTCTAATACATATTATTTTTCTTAAAAAAGCAAGTGATAAAAATAAATACACTGAATTATGGTATAAAAATCATATACAACCTAAAAAAACCAGTACTACACATTTCTATGGAAACATATGTAAATGGATAGAAAAAAGACCTAAAAGGCTGTGTACCAACAATGGTTAGGTTCGAAGGTTAGGAGAGTTACCCAAAGGAAACTTCAACGTTTCCATATTGTTTTTATGGGAGAATATATTAAATTACACTTGTAAAATTAAAAATGTATTTAAAATTGATTCCAATAAAAATAATTTGGCAATGCTGAAGTAAGTAGTATTAGACATGCTGTCACCATTACAACTTATAAAACTGGCAAGATTAAAAAGGTAACAAGAGACAAAGATGGGCATTTTATTATAATAAAGGGGGCAGTTCATCAAGAAGATATAACACATCAATATATATGCACCCAACCTGGTAATACCAAAGTATATAGAGCAACTATTAATAGACCTAAAGAGAAAAACTAGCAAAAATACAATTATAGTAGGGGAATAGCCCACTGACAGCAATGGATACAACATCCAAAGAAAAAATCAATAAGAAAATATCAGTCTTAAATGATACATCAGACCAAATGAACTTAATAGATATTTTTAAATTTTCCCATCCTCAAGTGAAAGAATACACATTCTTCTCAAGTGCATATGGAACATTCTCAAGGATAGACCATATGCTGGGTCACAAAACTAGTCTCAATAAATTTGAGAAGACTTAAATCACACCAAGCATATTTTTCAACCACAGCATCATACAGGAAATCAAAAGAAGAAAACTAGAAAACCACAAATAGCAAATAAACAACATGCTACTGAACAACTATTAGGTCAAAGAAGAAATAAGAAAGATCAAAAGATACATAGAGACAAATGAAAATGAAAATATGACATACCAAAATTTTTCGGATGCAGCGAAGTGGTACTAAGAAGGAGGTTTATGTCATCACAGGCCTACCTCAAGAAACAAGAAAAATCTCAATCTAACATTATACCTTAAAGAACTAGAAAAAGTAGAACAAAATAAAGCCTAAAGTCACTAGAAGGAAGGAAATAATAAAAATTAGAGCAGAAATAAATTTTAAAAGAAAAAAATGACAATAAAAATATTAATGAAACAAAGAGCTAGTTCTTTGTAAAAATAAATAAAATGGACATACCTCTGGGAAGACTCACTAAGGAAAAAAAGACTCAAATTAATAAAATCAGAAATGACAGAGGAGCCATTACAATGGACGCCACAGGAAAAAACCAAATGATTATATAAGAACAAATGATTATATAAGATACATATTCATCATAAAAAAAAATCTCAGAAAACTAAGAGTAGAAGAGAACTTTCTCAGCTGTTAAAGGGGTTCTATGAAAAACCTATAGCTAAAATCATACTCAATGGTGAAAGACAATTCTTTTACTTTAAAATGAGGAACAGGATTGTCTTCATTCTCACCATCTCTATTTTACATAGTATTGATGGTCCAAGTCAGAATATGGCAAGAAAAAGAAATAAAAGACACACAGATTAAAAATTAATAATAACAACATTGAGATATAACTTTACTCTAGGGTAACTGTAATAAAAAAATAATAAAGAAAACAGAAAATAAGTGTTGGTGAGGATGTGGAGAAACTAGAATCCTTGTAAATTTGTGGTGGGAATGTAAAATGATACAGTCAGTGTGGAAAATAGTTTTGTGGTTTCTCAATTAAGTTAAACATAGAATTACCAATTGGCCTTACAATTCTACTCCTGGATGTATAACCAAAATAACTGAAAACAGGTGTCCAATGAAAAACTTGTATACAAATATTCACAGCAGCATTAGAAACAAAAGGTAAAAACAACCCAAATATTCACAGCAGCATTAGAAACAAAAGGTAAAAACAATCCAAATGATGAATATATGAACAAAACATAGTATATCTATATAATAAAATATTGTTCAGCCATAAAAAGGAATGAAACACTAATACACAATGAAAGAAGACAGATACAAAAGGCTCCATATTGTATGATTCAATTTTTATGAAACATTGGAGTCAGCAAATCCATAAATACAAAAAGTAGATTAGTAGCTGCCAGGGTTTGGAGGAAGAGGAAATGGGAAGTGACTGCTTAGTAAATCTGGGCTTTCCTCTTAGGGTGATGAAAATGTTCTGGAACTAGATGTGATAATGTTTGTCATTTACAATGACATTGTAAATTACTAAATATCACTAGTGGTAAATTTTATGTTATGCATATTTTAGCACAATGTTTAAAAAGAACAAAGTAACTCTTTATTCACAAATAACATAATATGAAGAAAATACTAGGAAGTTACCAAAAAAAGCTGCTAAATTAAGAAATTAGCATGATTTCAATATATAATGCCATTATACAAATTCCTGTATATCTCATTTCTATATATTAACAATGGGAGAAAAAAAATTTAAATATCACTTATAATAGTATCAAAAAACATGAATCACTTAGGTATAAATTTGACACTACATATATAAGACCTATCCACTGAAAACCACAAAACACCATACAGAGAAGTTAGACTTAATTAAATCAGGAAATATCCATGCTCATGGATTGGAAGGTCAATCTTATTACAATGTCAGCTCTTCTTACATTAACCTATAG